TTGAAAAATGTATTTAAATTGCCACTAGGTGATCTGTATCCTCCTATGATTATAGTTTGTTCTTTTATCAATTCGATTGCTGCTAATTCAATTGTCAGTTCTTCGTTGAAATCCTGGATGTTTATTTAATGAATTTGCTTGTATTTCATCGCTTCCTTAATATAAATTGCTACCCCACCCCATTTATAAATATGTCTGGAGAAATCAGAGGATAGAATATAATTAGGTATATTTACTGATTTAAGTTCTTCATTTGTTAGGCCATGTTCTGAAATTATTAGTATATCTGGATTTATTTCATGGACTTCAAATAGTAATTTTTCAATTTTCTTGTGGAGTCCTCTTTGAATATTTAAATGATAAATTTTAAGGCTGGGGTTTTTATTTTCAGGATTTTTAGCAGGTTTGTTGTTAGAATACGGGAGATGGGCTTCAGCACTTGTGGCAATTAGGCTTGGGGGTTTTTTGGCTCTAGACTATTGTTTAGGATTTTGGTTGTGTGACAGGTTATATCTGTTACAAGTTCTTTATTTGTTGAAATCGTGGTTTGATCCGTATTTTTTGCCAGGTCCACAGTTGTCCGTTCATCCTCAGTCGCTGTCAGATCCAGAGTCGCAAGTAGCTCCTCAGTCACTAGGCTCGTTTTGTCCTCAATTGCTAGTTGGTCCCTTGTCGCTGGTTGATTTTCAATTGATTGTTTATCTTTAGTTGTTAGGTAGCTTTCGGTTCCCTTATGATTTTTGGTATCGGTAGATGTTATGTCCCTACTTTTTCTTAGACTCTTTACTGTGGTTGCCTTGCTTTTTGCAGTTGCTAGGGTTTGATTCGTAGTTTGGAGTGTGTGCTCCAAAGATTCACTCAGAGCTTTGTCTCCGATTGCATTGGGATGTATTCCGTCTCGTGAGTAGAGGTCTTCCCCAAAAGAGCTGGTAATGTCTACAAAATTTATGTGCAGTTGTTCGCACATGAATCTAAGGGCGTCATTTATCTGATCGATATAGCAGTCCCGAACATCCTTCCTGTATAAAATACTGTGTACATACCATTTAGTTTCAGTATGGATTTTTTGAAGGGATTCGATAGTGTACCAGAGGGGTCTCATTACATGATTTGGCGTTGGGGCTTGCTGGACATTGTTTGATCCCATATTAACGATAACTTTATTTGGGAGTTTATTTTGGTGGCACAGGAATCTGCTTAAATCAGCTATTTTACCTCCCGGCATAATTCTGTAATGAATTTCATGAGAGTCGGAGCACTTGATGGCAGTGGTTTTGGCAGCACTTGTGGCAGATGGAGTTTGGTTTGTCTAGCCTAGGCTAATATTTGTTGCATGGAATTTTTGAGTGTTTTTCCCCTAGCTAAAAAACTTTGTCTAGCCTAACAATTAATGCAAAAACATGTTTTTTTTTTTTTAAACAGATTTAAAACTAAAGAGTGTATTTGACTATATTATTGAAAAACAGAAGGTCCTACCTTGAGATGTCTTCTAATTTATGGCAATGCTCACGAAAATGGTGTGGTGTGGGTAGGCTGCAATATTGGTGTTGGGAGTTTGCTTCCTTCCAGTTAGTTGTCCTTGTAGTTAATAAGCCCAATTTAATGCAAAGGTTTGGGCGCCGCCATCTTGGTTCTTGCGAGTGTGAACATTTTGCTTATTTCTCACCAAAGTTTCGGTACTATTTCATATGTTGGATGTTAAAGACTAATCTTTATGTTGTTTGAAGGCACTTTATCCGATTAGTTTCATTTCATATATCGAAATTTCAAAGTTAGCCTGTTGAAAGAAGCCTTGTAACCGTGAAACCGTCAAAGGCCTAGACTTACACTCTTTCACAACCTCAACTAAGTTACAACTACACAAGAGAGAAGAGACAGACAGGACAAGACACAGGACAGGACTTTGGAGTCAGTGACTAGTTTTCCGTCAATCCTCAGTTTTTGGTTGCCGTTGCTCACTTTTTTCTGAGTTCTTTCTGAGTTTATTGTCCTCCAGATGGCTTGGCTTTTGTTATCGGAGTTTTGGATGAACTCAGAATTCACCTTTCTACTTAACTTTTTCAGGTGGGTGTCGTAAATCTTTTTTAGGTCAGCAGTACGGCGTTTGTCTTCTTCTTTTCCACTGAGAATGAATGATTCTTGAGCGGCTAGAAATTGTGCTCTCATACGGTTCACTTCGTCATCATAACAGTGAAAGCGTCTTCTTCTATTCCTGATACGAGATTTTCTCAGAGGGCAAGTCATGTTCAGCATATTAGTGACTATGCTAATGAAGTTGTTGTAGGCACCTTCTACCTCAGAAGATCTGTAGACCATTTCCCAAGTCTCTTCCTGTAACTGAAATTTAAGATTTGCCAAGTTATCTGAGTTTACGTTACGGCAAAAAGATGCCGTTGGCTTCTTACATTTTGCATTCAGATTAATCTCACACAACTGGCCTGTATGGTCGGAGATACCAGTCTTGATTACTTGAACAGCCACGTCAGCGAGAAGTCCATTAGTTGTGCACACAGTGTCTATGGAAGTAGATGAAGTCGGAGAGATTCTCGTGGGGGAAAGCGAGATTCTAGTCATGCCATATCCAATTAATAGCTCTTTAAACTCAGTTTTTTGCTTATAAGGCTTGAGGTCATTGATGTTAATATCACCTACCAAAATCATCGGGTTACTTTTCTTTGACAATGATGTAAGCCCCTCAGCTAAGGTTTTAAATGCTTCAGAGGTTTTCTCCACACTGTTACTCGAGGGCATGTAGACTCCTAGAATCTGAAGACATTCTGTGCTATTAGGCCAAAAATTTTGTTTAAAATTGTTATATTTTTAATATTTTGTTATTTGTAAAATTTTGTTTATAAAATAAAATTATAAGTTAAATGCCAAAAATTCTAACAAAAGATGTACCTACAGTTAAGAAGAAATGGCATTCAAATCAAAATCTTTGACAAAAAGTTAAAGTTACCAATGGGATTCGAACCATGGACTCTTGCATTTCAGCGGAGCACTCTATCCACTTCACCACGAACACCGATGGTTGTACATCGTATTGTTGTGGTAATGGCGTTCTGGGCCCCCACAACCCGGTGACGTAACTGCCGGACGCCTAATCCACGTCCGGTTACTGGACACGTATCCTCTGTGTATATTTATATAACTTATAACTTAACTTATGTGTCCCCGTCAGTGCGATAACTCGAGCAAAAATGATCCGATTTTGTTGAAATTTGGTATAAGTTTTTAAGCGTGTAAACCTACATTTATTTGAACGAGTTTGTGAATCAGCATGATTGGACCATGGGAACGGGATTTTATGGGTTAAAAATGTGTTTTTCCCATTTTGACCGTAAAAACATAACATTTTGCAATTTCTTTCTAAACCATCGTATAAAGCTTAAGAAAAGAAATAGGGTATAATTTAGTATATGGAAGCTCTGTTGTATGCCTAAAGTTTACAGAGAAAATTGGCTGCACCTTAGTATCTATCCTACACTCATTCGAATGAAATACCGGTATATCATGGCATACCGGAGGAAGTGGCAGCTCCTCTTACGCACATAGTCAATTTTTCACTGACATCTGGAATTTCCCCTCAGAATTGAAAAACTGCAAATATAAAACCAATTTTTTAAAAGTCAGACAGAACTGACCCGGGGAATTATCGTCCAATCTCTCTCCTACCAGTCGTTTCAAAATTGATTGAGAAAGTTGTTTCGGAGCAACTTCTTGGAAAAAATTAACATGTGTGACAGACAATATGGTTTCAGATGCAACAAATCAACAAAATTGGCACTCATTGATTTCATCAACAGCAGTATAGATGCGGAACAGTAGTTGGTTGTTTTGCTGATCCCTCTGAAGCCTTCGATTGTGTCGAACCTGCGATTCTATTGGAAAAATTTGCATCAATTGGAATCTCAGGACTTGCGCTGAAGTGGCTCACATCCTATATGAGCAACCAATTCCAAGTCACTGAGATAAAAAAAAACACAAATTCAAAAACTGAAAGAATTTCATCAACAATAATAAGTTAACACCAGGTGACTAAGTCACTCACGGAACTACACTTAAGACACCTAGTAATGCGAGCGGTGACACAATTCAGGCTCCGTACTACTTTAACTCTGCAGACTTCAACTGAATAATGGGGGTAGTACAGGGGAGGGGGGAAACCGAAATGATGTTAATACGGTTCTTAGAAAGAAGTCTACGAGGTACAGTTACTCTTAAAACTGCTGGCAAGCACGAATGCATTATTTTTCTACAAAAATAAATCTGCCCGGTCGCCTGGAGGAAAAACTTTGCTGTGATACCTATGAGAGTTAGCATAATTTGAGCTATTTTACCCAACATAATATGAATAGGCCTAAAAATGCTATCAACTTTATTGGCCTATTCAAGTTACAAAAAAATAAACATTGTATCTCACAGGAAACTTCTTTGGTGGCCCTTTAATCTATTTGCTAAATGGAGGGGTTTCCAAGCGTTATCCATTAAGGAGGCTTGTTGTGTCTCCACACTGTTGACACAAATGTTATATTATTGTAGCAGATAACAGGTGGTTTGCAAGGAAAAATTGGAAGTGTGGCTGAAATCTGTTCTTAAATTTAAATTTATTTTAGTTCATGATTTTTCACTTGATGGGCATAGCCAATGCTACCAGATCTTTAATTTTAAAAATGTACCGGTATAGGTATGTTTATTTTTAACAAAAAATTTTAAATAATAAATTATATTAATTCTTATAAATAATAGAGCACCCGATAACTCTCTGATAACATGATAGATTTTTTCTAAATAAAAATACTACCATAGGTTTTCAGAGATTTTAGTTTTAAATCTAGTTATTATAATATATATTAAATATATGTACTATATATATAATATATTTTACGTTTGCTGGTTATTATTCCCAGGTTGTACAGATGCATAATGTGAGCTTTTACAGCGATAACTAAGTGGGAAGCATTTATTTTTCAAATATTAACTTAATATTTTTTTTCCAGATGATAGTATTATATCTGAAGATAACCATTGTGATAATAGTCAGAAGAAGAAAAACAGCAAAGACACAAAAAGAAATTACAAAAGGAGGAAAACTTGTCTCTAGTTTATAAAATTGTAAAAATTAAAGTTGTTTTTAAATATATCTGCATTTTGTATGATTTTTGTACGTGTAAAAAAGTAGATGATACCGGTACCCTGCATTATTTTATGTGCTCACAAACTTGGCTACACTTTCATATGAAATTTATCTTTTAGATAATGATAATACTTTAAAGTTACGTTTAAGACCAACTGGGATCCCATAACCTCTTGTCATGACAATGTTGATCTCTCTTCCGAACATTTTACCAGAATCACCTCTAGTTCTGTTGGTGTGGCAAGTAAGTTGGCTTATACCGGTAACAAGAAATCTCGTTTAAAAAAGTTAAAACCGTGGATACAGTAGAACCCCTCATATCCGGCCACCACGGGACCAAGCCCCTGACCGGATAACGATTTGGCCGGATAAACCAACCTTCTATGAAAATGATAATTCATACCTAATAATAATAGGTAATCAATATATGCAATCAAAAGTATAATTTAATTCTGTTCTGGGATCATTTTTAGAAAAATAAACATGTTTGTAAAAAGAAAAAAATTTGTAGGTTAAAGTCATTAAGTAGGCCTAATGAATGTACAAATATTATGATTCCAGGTAGCAAAACCTATTAAATGGAGGTAAAAATGACAATAAATTGTACTTAAAGATCATTAGGACTTAAATGGTACATGCATTTCTACTCAACATTCCTAACCATTTTGTGAAATACAAAAATTAATGTACTCGTACTGTACTGTACTAACCCCACTTTGGAAATAATCAACCAACTGATCAGAGGTTAGGCCTACTAGCTCAACTGAGTATAGTGACTCAGCAAATAAATGTATAAACAAACAGATAAATAATGAGAACAATTTATTTGATGACTTGAGCAATCACAAAGACTAGTGGCTGCATCTAAACGTCTGTAAGCTGTGAGGAAAAAATTTTGATATTGGCTTCCTGGAAGGGGCCGGATAAACAGAGGACCGGTAAAACCAAGGCCGGATATGAGGGGTTCTACTGTAACGTCAAACTTAATATCAAATAAGAGTAAGAGACCGAGAAATCAAAACTAGTTGAAGTTTTTCTTTGAAGCTGACAAAAAGAAACTATTATAGAAATAAACTACACTTGACCGGCAACAACCCTAAAATGTTCTGGGGCATAATTAATGAAATATCTGGCAGAAAATGTAAAAATGATTTCTTTCCTATTGTTAAGTTTGTTCCAGCGGACCAGATATCTCCAGCCCAATGTCTAAGAGTTGCCAATGATTTCAACGATTTTTTCTCCTCTGTAGGCTCTAATTTAGCAACCTCTATCGACACAAGTGGGGACCCAGTTGTGAATGACAATGACTTTGCCCATGATTGTACATACACTTCACACAATCACTGAACCCGAACTGAAACGATACATTTACAGTCTACGCTGTGGGTCAGCACCTGGCTACGATGGTATCTCAGCCGAAGTCCTGAAAGCCAATTTCCATTTGTTTAACAAACCACTCTTACATATAGTAAATTTAAGCATTTCATCCGGTAGATTTCCTGAATGTTTGAAACTTGCCAAAGTTTTTCCTCTTTATAAATATAATGAGTTTGCCGATATGAATAATTACAGACCAATATCTCTTATGAGTGTATTTTCTATGTTATTGATGTTTCGGTTTTAAGTTTCTGTTGATTTGTCAGTTAGTGTGATGACAGTGTCATCTGCATACATTGTGGTTTGGCAGTATTCTTGTAGCTGGTCTGGTAGGTCATTTGTGAGGAGGAGGAACAGGACTGGTCTGAGAACTGATCCCTGTGGTACTCCTCTCCATATAGGGACAGTTTTGGAATGTATTTAATGGCGAGTGTTTTTTTCTACATGCTGAATCTCAACTAGTTGCTGTCTACCATTAAGATAGCTGTGGAACCATTGTTTAGACTTTCCCTCAATACCCAGAGCTCCCAATTTTCTAAGAAGTGTCTTGTGGTTAAGGCAGTCAAAGCCCTTGCTAAAGTCCAGAAACAGACTTGTGACTGAGGAGCTGCCTTCTAATTGTTTTATTATGTGGTCGGTAAGCTGTATTAAGGCAGTGGAAGTGGATCTTCCTTTAAGGAAGCCATGTTGCTGTCTGGTGAGCAGCAGATTTTGGTCTAGATGGGATATTAGTCTGTTAAGGACGATTTTTTCAAAGATTTTAGAGAAGGTTGGTATAAGAGAAATTGGTCTGTAACTTTTAGCATCCGTGTTTGGTCCACTTTTATATTTAGGGTATACCTTGGCAGTTTCCAGCTGTGTTGGGAAGACCCCTTGTTTGAGAGACTTATTTATGAATGCTGTTAGTGGGTTAATCAGTTCATTTTTGCATGTTTTGACCAGTTTGGCTGATATTTCATCAGTGCCAGATGAAGTTTTTGGTTTAAGTGAGTCTATTGCTTTTTCTTTTTAGTACTTTGTTACGTGTTGCAAGCTGAAATTTTAGTTTGTTAGCTGTTAAAGGAGGAATTTCGGTGTTTGTATGTTGGTGTTGTTGGCCTGAATTGTCCTTTCTGCAGCTGTAGCAAAAAAACTGTTGAGATGGTTTTGCTATTTTGATTGGGTCCTGTAATGTCTCCCCATCTACTAGGAGTTCCCACCCATTTGCTATACTGGTACTTGATTTTCTCTCATTATTTATAACCTGCCAGAGTGCCTTGGGGACTTGTTGTTGAGAGAGAATTGAGAGAATAGTAAAAGATCAATTAGTTACATTTCTTCAAGCAAACAACATTTTGAGCGTTTGTCAGTATGGGGTTTGCTTGCACAAAAACATTTCAGATGCACTTTTTGCCATTAATAGGGACTTAAATTTGGCAATTTCAGATAATGAACACCCAATATTAATATTTTTAGATCTTTAAAAGGCATTTGATTCAGTTGATCAATCTAAGCTTTTTTCCAAATTAGAAGCAGTTGGCGTAAGGGGTAACACACTTCGGTGGTTTAAAAGTTATCTGTCTCAAAGATCTCAACTTGTATCAATACTTAACACCAACAGTAATATTGAATACTAAGCTGTTGTACCCGTGCTTTGCAACGGGAAGAGGACGCAAAATGCAAAAAGTTAATAGTACTGCACCCTGTTGGAAAACCTTATAACTTTTTAATGCTATTTAATATCACCGTCCAGAAGGAAACGGACAAGTTGAACGCTTCAACGGAACACTTTGGAGAACAATAACTCAAGAAGACTACGAATTTACCAATTATGCAGTCTGAGCGTGTTCTCAGTGATGCTTTACATGCTATTAGATCTTAACTGTGTACCAATGCAACTCCCCACGAACGCTTTTTTGTGCACTCTAGGAGATCAAGCAATGGATTTTTTTTCCCACATGGCTACGTTTTCCTGGACCAGTTCTACTAAAACGCCATAATCAGTTGTAATATTACATGTCATTCATTCATCATTAACATTAATTTCTCTATTATTGTATATATTTTCTTTCATAATGTCTGTTAATGCCCCTGATAATGTATTATCAGGTATTTAATATGTTTCTCCTTGTTAATGTGTTATTTTATCCAACTTTGTTAAATGTCATATAATATCCCATCACCCCACAGAAACATCATCCTATTTCATGTTACAATATAATATTTATGCAAATTCTCTCCATACCTATTAAGTACTCATCAAAAACCAACAATAATCATTTATTTAGAATAATATATAATTGTAAGAAAATTGCAATATAATAATAACATCTTAAATATAGTATTATTTTTCAAAATTATCCAAAGAAAATCAAAATTACTGTGGCAAGTGTCATTCATGTAAATTTAACCAGCTGTGCATCATTGCAACAATGGACATGGACTTCCTGAGCTTCTACCATTGCCTCTCCCCAGATCCTGCCAACTCTTCACAGTGTGAACATCATTCTATTGGAAATTGTGTTTAATTTAAACTAAAATTCATAATCCCAAAGTAAAACCTAAAATTTAAATTTCTCATCATCCAAAAGTATTGGACAAGTGCATTGAAGAGTACCAATTTATAAGAAGACAGACACTCCAAATTTGGTAACCATCATCCATCTTATTTAACTAAGGACAAATTTAATCTTCATTGGACATTTAATCAGCATAGCCTACTAGGCCCAATTAACCTAACTCATCAAGATATATACATATTTCAAATTGAACTTTTATTCAAAATTTAATCTTCAAATTCTATTTTATTTCAATAAATTCAGTGAAACCATTTGGAATCTTTCTTTGGACATTAACATTATTAGCCTATATTAATAGCATCATGAACCTAGCTTAACTTATTTCAGAACAATAACTAAATTAAATTATTTGCATTTTAAAGAGGCCTAATATATCATTCGAACCGGCACGACCACCCCTCCCTGGATTAAGAGCTCATAGCCTATTTAAATATTAATTAGTACTTTAGAAGAAACCAGCCCAATATAAGCCTAGAGAATCTTTTCATCCACTTTGGAACCCCACCATTTTGAAAATTTACCATTGTTAACTTACCCTGTAGCTAATTCAACCAATAACTTATATTTGTATTTCATTAATAAATTATATATTGTAACTTACCAAATCTATTTATTCTTAAAATAATTCATAATTATAAGATTAAGACAAAGACTTACCTTATTAGACAGAAACAAAACACAAATTAGGAATTATCTTTATTAAGAAAGAAATGACTTGGAGTTCAATGTGGGCTAACTTAATGGCCGAAGGAATTTTGTGGGCCTAAGTTAATGAATAGCCTATAGAAAGCTTTATGGTGTGTAGCAAATTTGGCGCCCAACGTGTCGGCTTTCGAATGATATATTACGGTAGTCATAAAATATTGCAATTTTCGATTTAAGCTAAGTTAACCTTAAGTTGTACTAGATCGTAAGAACCCATAGCCTATTGTACTGTACGTCCCGTAATTAACATTCCCTAACCCCAATAACAACACAAAGCCGTTATACAAAACATTAATTAATCACGCACAATTTGCATAATTAGTACAATAATTAATCATGGCCGAGAAAGGATATAATTTAAGACCC